GGGTATAGGGGGGATAAATGGTGATGAAAAGATAATTTTGGAAACAAACAAACAAAAAATGCAAAAATTATCCACAAGAATGAGACACAATAGGGATTTCAAAGCCCCGAAATGAGTAGAAACCAGAATCTGTGCATTTCAGAACGGCGCGTGGTTTTGAATATTAATGTAGTCCAGCCAGGGAAAGGCTGAGATCTTGTAGCTCGGACTCCGAGACGCTTAGTACCCAGAATCGCTGGTGTCCCCAGGAGGCCACATCGCAGTGCAGAACTAGTAACCCGCACCAAAGCAGCTACCAAATTCTCGAGAAAATTCTTCAGGGTTGTGACGCAGTATTCGCGGAACCTGTGTTATGTGCTGGGGTCCTTTCTTAAATGATGGCTGAAATCGTTTTAAAACACCAAAGCACCAGGACACCCCAGTCTAGGACCAGAGGGTGGGAGGAGCACATTCTAACCTACTGTACAGCTGACTCACAGAACAGGAGCAGAGGAAGGGGTTAAAGACGCGCCCTGCATTCAAAGAGCAAAGCCAGTCACGGTTCCGGGACCTAAAAAATGCTTAAAAACTACGTGTGCCAATTCGGTGGCCTTTATTAGAGTAACTTACTTTGTGAAAAGGAACAGAGAAGGAAAATTGCGAACAGCTCTTTCTCGTGACTAGATGGGTGGCTCTGAAAAGAGCCTTTGGAGTCAAGCAGCCGGCGACTCCTACGAGCGCCGCGTCCCGGCAGGGACTCACTTGGAGCTGGTGTACTTGGTGACGGCCTTGGTGCCCTCGGACACGGCGTGCTTGGCCAGCTCGCCGGGCAGCAGCAGGCGCACGGCCGTCTGGATCTCCCGCGACGTGATGGTCGAGCGCTTGTTGTAATGCGCCAGGCGGGATGCTTCGCCGGCGATGCGCTCGAAGATGTCGTTGACGAAGGAGTTCATGATGCCCATGGCCTTGGACGAGATGCCGGTGTCGGGGTGCACTTGCTTGAGCACCTTGTACACGTAGATGGAATAGCTCTCCTTCCGGCTGCGCTTGCGCTTCTTGCCATCCTTCTTCTGGGCTTTGGTGACCGCTTTCTTCGAGCCCTTCTTGGGCGCGGGAGCGGATTTCGCCGGTTCCGGCATTGCAGAAAACACCACACAAGGTAGCTGAGAAAAGAAGTGCAACGATAGGCGGACCTGATCCTTTTATAACCACCGTATGCAAATTAGGACTCCAGAAGTCTTTCGTTTCCATTGGGCCACGTAGAACCTTGCGTTTCCAGCAATAATTACGTGAAAACACCAACTCGTGACCTTATTGGTCATTTCTGGAGCCAGTTTAGGACCAATGAAAAATGCATTTCTGACCCCACCCCTAGGAAAGCTTATAAAGGCTTTCTAATTGCTAATCCTTCAATCCTGTTTTGCAGCGAGATTCTGAGCTTTAGCAGTTTTAACCTTTCTAATCATGTCCGGTCGCGGGAAGCAAGGAGGCAAAGCTCGAGCTAAGGCTAAGTCGCGCTCGTCACGCGCGGGGCTGCAGTTCCCGGTGGGCAGAGTGCACCGTCTGCTGCGCAAGGGGAATTATGCCGAGCGGGTGGGGGCCGGCGCGCCCGTCTACATGGCGGCCGTGCTGGAGTACCTGACCGCGGAGATCCTGGAGCTGGCGGGGAACGCCGCCCGAGACAACAAGAAGACGCGCATCATCCCTCGCCACCTCCAGCTGGCCATCCGCAACGACGAGGAGCTTAACAAGCTGCTGGGCAAGGTCACCATCGCGCAGGGCGGCGTTTTGCCGAACATCCAGGCCGTTCTATTACCAAAGAAAACCGAAAGCCACAAGGCCAAAAGTAAATAAATGCTAACAAAGAAAACCAAAGACCAAAGGCTCTTTTTAGAGCCACCCAAGCTTTCAAAAAAAAGAGCTAATGCGCTATTTTGTGATCAGCCCTTCATCTGACACTTTGTTGGCTCTTAAAAGAGCCTTTGGGGTGAGTGGGACTGACTGATGGTGTCAAGCCTTAGTTACTTGTTCTTGCCAGGCTTATGACCCTCCGTTTTCTTGGGTAACAAGACAGCCTGGATATTGGGCAAGACACCGCCCTGGGCAATGGTAACACCCCCAAGTAACTTGTTGAGCTCTTCGTCATTTCTCACGGCGAGTTGCAAATGGCGAGGGATGATGCGCGTCTTCTTGTTGTCTCGGGCGGCGTTCCCCGCCAGCTCCAGGATCTCCGCGGTCAGGTACTCCAGCACCGCCGCCATGTAGACGGGCGCGCCGGCCCCCACCCGCTCGGCGTAGTTGCCTTTGCGCAGCAGACGATGCACCCGGCCCACCGGGAACTGCAGGCCGGCGCGGGACGAGCGCGACTTGGCCTTCGCGCGAGCTTTGCCTCCCTGCTTTCCGCGTCCTGACATCACGGCTAAAAAAAAGGAATAACAGCCTGTTTTACCATAAGAAGAATGTGAAAAGGATAACCAATTTGGTGTAATTTATAAGAGCTACCGGGAGGGGGTAAAAGGAGGTAGTTTGATTGGCTAAGAGCGGGGCCCTATCAGCCAGCCAGTAGGGAAGCAGAAAGCAGCCTCTTGTTTGCATCCGGCACAACCAGGAAATGACGGATTTCGTAAATGCCTACCAATTGCTGCGAACTATATTAAATCCCCTTATTTGCATGCCAGGATTTTTAAAGAGACAAGATTTTCAAACAAAGCGCAATTTTGTTCTGGTCTTGTTTCCGGCTAGCATTTTTTTCCAGTTTAGGGTGGTGGCTTTTTGTAGGTTTTTCGTTTGTTTTTTGCAGTTTAGAGCTGGAAGGGAAATCCCAAGAAGGACCAAAAGTACTGCGGAGGGCCTCCGGCCGATGCATTCACTCCCGCTCTGGGGTACGAGATTATGAAGCTGATTACCTCCTTGAGCCCTAAATTACCCTCAAAGTCCTGCCGTTTTGCCTCATCGCCGCCAAACTCCCCTCTCTTCAATTTAGTCACTGCCAGCGGCGTGGTTTGGCCCTACCCCCACTCGCCTCCGCCCCCGGAATCCTGGGTGACTAAGGGCTACAACAGATTGCTCTTCCTCCTCTTCACCTGCGGGAGGCGTCCGAAACCACCTTGAAACTTGCTCCCTTGGCTTTCAAAATGTCCTCCGGCTTTCCTTTTCCTGCTCCTATCCCTCTGCCCGTCCCTAAATCCGCGCGTACATCCAGGCTCTGCCTCCCTCCCCACCCCTCCCATTGTTCACTCTTCCCGAAGAGTCTTGCCCGCTTCCATGCTTTCCACTAACATCCAAACTTGTAGCAGGAACTCGAAGCCTTACACCAAACTGTTTACTGGGTAGTTCAACCCGTTTGTTCCAACTACTCTACCTGTACAAACGCGAATTTATTCAAACAATGCCTACCCTCTTCTCTTTGCTCTGTTTTCCTGAATTGCACCAACAGTCTTGCAGGTCCCTAAGCCAGAATCTACTCCTCCCTGCATCTCAACAGCATATCCAGTTACTTCCTTAACATCTGTACATACAGTTGCCTCTGGTTAGAATGCTTCACCCTCCTGTTCACCTGTAAAATCCTCATCATTCTACCAGTTTCAGTCCAGATATCACCTCTTCCTTCATGAGGCCTTCCCTACTCCTAAACACACAGCCTCGGGGTACCCATATGCCTTTTAAACATCCTGGTGATAGCCCCAGTCTGTACTGTGCTTTGACCTTGGTCTCGTTTCCTTTTTATGACCACCTCAAAGGAGAGACCATGTCTTCATCTTTGAATCAAGAGTCCTTAATTCTCTCTACCTGGCTCTTAGTAGGGTAAATGTTTTTGGCATGAATAAATGAAACAATACTCTTAAGAGAATTAGTGTCATTTTTAAAATAGTTCTCTTTAGTCAACAACCACTCTCCAAGTGCCAACTACAAATAGTAGACTGTGGTGGTCAGAGAGATGGAAGATATAATAGAAGCTTGTCGGTTAAATGAAAATAATATACCCTACCGTAACAGAGTTGTTAGAATAAATGAGAATAAGTGTAAAGAACCTAGTGCAGAGCCTAGAACCTGGGAGGCTCAGAGCTGGATTAGGAAGCAGAATAGCTTAATGGTTAAGAACCCAAATTCCAGAGCCTGGGTTTAGAGAACAGTACCTTGGACCAACAAAGCAAGGGGCATCCTAAAAATTCTTTGAATGAATTTTTAATTTCAAAAATAAACATTAGATTTATCCTATAACCCAGAAATTTCACCCCGGAAATACCCCAAACATGAATGAATGTTTGCATCCAACAAAAAGCATATACAAGAATGTAGTATATTCATATAACTACAATACCACATGAGAAAATGAACAAATTACTGCCACACACATGGATGAATCTAACAGACAATGTTGAGCAAAAGACAACACAAATGAATTCATACTATTTGATTCAATTTATATAAAGTTCAAAAACAGACAAATCTATGGCGAGAGAGGTTAGAATAACGATTACTATAACAGGATGGTATTGACTTCCCAGAGCCTTCAAAAGTGCTAGAAATTTTCTGTATCTTGATATGTTTGTACTCATATGTAAAATTAAGCTGTACACTTAAGGTTTATAAATTTCTCAAGTGAAAATTATGTCGATAAGCACAAATTAATTTTTTCTAACAAACAAATATTGAAGTAATCATGGTGGGGGGAGGATGAGTATTTTGTTGGGCATCCCAATCTGCATGTTACAGATTAGTGTTTACTGTTGTTTGTTTTGTTTTCATTACACACGAGGTGACCATCATAATTTCTAGGTGCTTAAAGCCTCTAAATGTCTTAATCTGGCCATGATAAACCTTCACTAAACAGTAGGTATTATTATGGCTGTTTTTATTAGAAACAAAGACTATAGGTGGCCCTATAGAGCTTGACCCTTGCAAAGGGTCAACAGAAATAATGTCAGCCCTCTCTATTCAGACATTATTCCATTCAATAAGTTTTATTGAACACCTAAGTGTGCCACAACATCTAGAATGTAATGAATACATTCCCTCTGCCTAGATTTCTCTTTCCACAGGGTTGGTTCCCTCTAGTCCAGAGTTTTCTCTGTGCCCCTAAGTCTGGGTGACTTGCCTCCTTGGCATTCTGTTTTAAGTCCCATCATAGCACTTAGCAATTGTCCCCTCACTTGTCCATCTTCTCCAGTGTTCTGTAAACTCCTTGAGAACAGGGTCTGCTTTATTCCCCAACCTACCGAACTGGTCTACCACACAATAATTATGTGTTCAAAAATGGAATGGAGTCCTATTTTCTTGTATGTAAAATAAAGGAGCAGGGCTACATGATTGGCAATAAAACGTATCGAATAATTCCAATCCCAAATGCGCAGGGATTGCCGGGTTTTTGTTTAGACTACAATTCCCGTGAGCCCTCGGGGCACACGTAACACCTGTCAGTTCTACTATTGCGCAGCGAAGACTCCATTTCCCAGCGTGCCTCACTCAGGACTCGAGGACTGCATTTCACCTAGAAAGCCGGGAGTCGCGTCCCTGCACCGAAACTTCAGTAGCCAGGGCTGCGCCAGAGGTAGAAAGGGCCCAGCCTAGGGTTCAGAGGGGACAGTGGCCCAACCGAAAACCCGGAGTTGCACATACCTGCTTTTGCAACCTCGGTTCCAGGCTTTATTAATCCCCTTACTAACGAACGTGCCTCGCGAGCGGGCCTTCTCTAACCCTGCCGCTGCCGGCGGCCGCTAAGCGCCCAGACGTCACGCAGAGGAAAGGGGCGGGGTCTCCCGCAGCTGCGGGCTGTGCACGTCGGCGGGTGGGGGTGGGAGTAAGAGGGTGGCGGGATGTGGCTCTGAACCGGCGGTAGCCCCGACCCTCACTCCTCTGGCCCTTGTCTCTAAGGTAGCTGATGCTGAGTGGGCAGCTGGTCAGACGCAACTTCTCCATGGCCGGCCGCGTCTGTCTGTCCCGGGGCAGCGCGGGATCCGGGACCATAGGTCCCGTCGAAGCCGCCATTCGCACGAAGTTGGAGCAGGCCCTGAACCCCGAAGTGCTGGAACTGCGTAACGAGAGCAGCGGCCACGCGGTCCCATCGGGCAGCGAGACGCACTTCCGCGTGGCGGTGGTGAGCTCTCGCTTCGAGGGACTGAGCCCCCTGCAGCGGCACCGGCTGGTCCACGCTGCGCTGGCCGAGGAGCTAGCTGGGCCAGTCCACGCGCTGGCCATACAGGCGCGGACCCCTGCCCAGTGGAGGGAGAACCCTCAGCTGGATACGAGCCCCCCATGCCTGGGAGGGAGCAAGAAAACTCGAGGAACCCCTTGAACCCCAAGAGAGCATCAGGATCCAAATGGGTTGGGTGAGAGTAAACTGCTGGGGCCTTCTTCCCTTAAGTACAGTCCAATATTTGTAAGGGATGAGGACCAGTGGACCCTCGCTTAACTGGCACATACATTATTCTCCGGAGATAGCAACTCATTGCAGATCAAAGCTAACTCAAGAGTAGAATCATTCATTCCATTTGCCCTGGACTATTCCGGAAAAACTGCCCAGTCATTTCATGTTAAATTGTGACTAAGGAACCACCAGATCAGATGAGTTGGAAATAATCCTGTACATTAAAAGGGAAATTATCATATGAGCTGTGTTGCTGTGTTGTTAATGCCTGCTGAATCAGTGCTACAGATGTTCTTGAGAGAAGAAATACCTTAAGTCTTGGGTAGTTAGGGAGGGCTTCATGGAGGAAGTGATTTCGTTGCATCTTTAAAGGAAAGCACAAAAAGGAAAGGAAAGGGGAAGAGCCACCCCTGCCTCCCCCCCAAAAAAAACATAGAAACTAGACTCGACAGTGACTGACTGGACAAGAGGAGTTGCAGACACATTTGAGTTTCATACTGGGGGAATGTGTCTTTCTAACAGCCCATCCATTTCCAAAAGGATTTGCATTTGTAAGAAAAATTTGGGGGTGGGGGAACACTAAAGCAGTGAAAAGATAACCTAGAAAATGAGTATAGAAGATGGAGAAATTTTTAACTCTTTTTCATGAGCCTTCCGAATGTCATATTTCTTTTTAAATATGTTGTATTGATTTTTTAAGCGAGGGAGAAATAGGCTGCCTCCTGCACGCCCCCTACTGGGGACCAAGCCTGTAATCTGGCATGTGCCCTGGTGGGGAATCCAACCTGTGACCTCTGGGTGCAAGGATCGCTGCTCAACCAAACCAACCATACCAGCGGGGGCATTAAGTCATATTTCTCAGGAGTACTCAAAATAAGCAAATTTCTGTTGATCTCAATGTAGAAATAGAGCTTAAATACCAAAGAAAAAGTTTGATTCACATGTATTGTGACCATTTATGGCTAAAAAGTTTAGACTGCATCTGGTTGGGCAGTAGAGTCATCGAAGAGCTTTGAGGAAGAGCATGCCAGAGAGCACTGTGGGGCAGGTTGATCTAACAGTGATGTAAGTGGGTTGGCATAGGAAATCGAAGACAGAGATCAACCAAGACTGAAAGTGGAATGCTGACTTAGAAATCAGCTGTGGGACTAGAAAGGAAGGAGCTGATTTGAGAGCTACCATAAAACGTCAGAAAATGGCTTAATTAGAGCTAATCAACTAGAGTGAGAGGGGAGTCAAGGCGGTGGTTTTCAGATTTCCTCACATAAGAATTGCCAAGAGAACTTGTTTAAATTGTAGGTTCTAGGTCCCCTCTCTTTTCAAAACAGGTTCCTGATTCCACAAGAATGGAATATGGAATTTATGTCTTTAAAAAACAAGAGGATTTGGAGGAAATTGGTTGTTCTCAAGAAACATTACTCCAAGTCTTATTTTCATTTTTGGGTTAAGTATCTTAAAATTTATTTTTGTATATTTTATTTTATTGTGATAAGAACACTTGAAATGAGATACCTTTCTAACAAATTTTTAAGTGTACCATACATTATTGACTGTAGGTGCAATGTTGTACAGCAGATCTCTGGAACTTACTCATTGTGCTTAACTGAAACTTCATGCCTGTTGATAGTAACTCTCATTTCCTTCCCCCAGCCTCTGGCAACCACCATTCCATTTGATTATATGAATGTGACTATTTCAGATAACACAAGTAGCATCATGCAGTATTTGTCTTTGTGGCCGGCTTACTTGAGTTGGCATAATATTCTCATGGCTCATCCATGTTACATGTTGCAAAATTTCCCTTTTTAAAAAATGCTGAATAGTATTCCATTATATGTATAGAACACATTTTCTTTATCCATTTATCTATCAATGGACATTTAGGTTGTTTCCACATCTCAGCTGTTGTAAATAGTGCTCCAAGATCCTGATTTCAATTCTTTTGGTTAAGGACCCTGAAGTAGGATTGCTGGGTTATATGGTAGTTCTATATTTGACTTTTTTAGCAGCCCCTATATTCTTTTCCATAGCAGCTGCACCATTTTGCATCTCCACCAAAAATGTGCAAGGATTCCAATTTCTCCACATCTTTGCCAACACTTTTTGTCTTTGGGGGTTTTTTGGTAATAGCCATCTGATAGGAGTGAGGTGATATCTCGTGGTTTTGATTTGCATTTCCCTGATGATTAGTTACATGGAACATTTTTTCATATATCCATTGGCCATCTGTATGTCTTCTTTGGAGAAATATTTGTTTAAGTCCTTAGTTCATTTTTAAAACCAGGTTATTAATTTTTTTTGCTATGAGTTGTAGGACATTATCCCAAGTCTTCCAATCTGGGAAACTGAGAGGGTCCTCCATCTGTAGAAATGGAAAGGTCAGAATAGAGAGGCCAGTTGAGGCTACCTCAATATAATACCTCATGTTATTCTGGCTTTCAGTTTAGAGAAGAGGTGTTTTTCCATCTCACCATCTTCCAGCAGGCAGAACAGAGAGGCAAAGAAGCAGACATAGCCTATTTGGATTTTAAGGATTGGTTGTTTTCTTTTTATTTTTCATCAATATTTCTCATCTCATTTTTCACATCAACAGAGTTGGGTTTAGGGTTCCCCAGGAGAATAAGGGAATGGATGGATCTCTCCAGGGGGTGCAGGAGAGAGGGCTGCATCCAGCAAGGGAAGGGTGAAAAGGGCGCACACTCGCACACTGGGCACTGGAGGAGAAGGCAGTCCTTTGAGCACAGACACCAAAGAGTTAAACAGTCACCATCTCGTTCAGTGTTACAAAATGGGGAGAGTAACCATAGGGGGGGCACCAGATGCAGCATGAGGAGGGTGAATTTGAATTTTCTTTTTTTGTTGTTTTCACTTTTTCCCTTTTAACTTAACATTTTACAAACAGCTAAAAACTACAACACATCACAACTACAGTGGGGGGGGG